TTTCTTTAAATAAGTTAAACGATAATGAACTAAGGTTAAATAAGCAAATGGGAAAACTTAACTATGTATTTGAAGAAAATTATAAAACTAATATTAAGTTAGTTAATGTTGAAAGAATTATTTCTGTATTAAATATTATCGAAAGTTCACTGTTATGAATATCTAATATTTTAGACACGATTTTGAATTCTATTTTATTTGCAAAAGCAAATATTTTGCACCCTTATGTTTTAACTACTACAAAGTTATATAATGAACTTTATAATAGCAAAATTATAAGGAGAAACGCAGAGTTTCCTATTTCTTTATCTTTAAAAAATATTCATAATATTATTGATCTATCTAATCTTATTTCTTATTTTTATAATGATAAATTAGTTTTTGTTATTCAAATACCTTTAACTAGTCCTATTAAATTTAACATTTATAAAAATTTACCTTTACCTACACCACGTAAAATAAATAATATTTTAACATATATTCTTGTACACCCTTCAAAGTTATATGTGGCTGGAACGGAAGATAGACTAATTTACTCTTTATTAGACAATATCAATGATTGAAAAATGTTAACAACGAATATGTTATATGTCCATTATCCTTTATATTATCGACAGTTAATAATCCCTCTTGTGAGACTAAACTTTTAACAGAAATAACTTTGACCTTACCTGAAATGTGTGAATCTAAAATAATTTATGGCAACATTAATGTATGGCAAAAACTTAATGATGGAAGATATATCTATGTACAATCTAATCCTAGAAAACTAACTTTAAGATGTAACAATGTAATGAAAGATTATACTTTACAAGGTTCAGGATATTTATCTTTGAAAAACGATTGTATTGCTTATTTTGAAACTTTACAATTTTATCCACCTCAAGAATATAATAATGTTATGCCAAGCCAACTTGAAATTAACTATAATATAATAGAAGATGATTGTTGCAAATATAATTTAATAAATGGAACTTTACATAAATTTGCTCCTATTACCTTAACAAACATTGACTTAGAATCTTTAAATTTAGCCTCACATAAATTAAATCATTTGGAAAACCAAATTAATGAAGCTGAAAAACAATCTCACCTGGTTAAATATGGAAAATATTATTCTATACTTATTATTGTAATTGTTTGTGTAATTTTCATTTACATTCTATATAAAATTTATAAAAAATGTTTTCCTAAATGTTGTAACAATACATCTTGTTGTATTCAAATATTTAACCAATGTTATAATAACAAACAACCGAAAATAAATAATTCAATAGTAAAATCATCAATGGAATTTACTGATATCTCTGATGATATTGAATACGACAAGAAATCAACAAAGAGTCTACCAGAAGTAGAAATTAATAAAAATAAAAATAAAGTTATTTTTAGACACTTTGAGAGTAATTATTAAGTAAAGATAAATAAATAAATTTATTAATTTCTATTTTTCTATGAAATTATTATTTTACTATTATTCAGAAACTTTGTATTGATTATGTTAATTTTATTATTATTAAGAAAAAAATATATTTTTTGTAAACTTTTTATAATCAATAATTGTATTAATTTTATGTGAAATATTGTTAATGTTTAATTTTGACAATTTATAGTTTTATATTTAATGGACCTACGATTTTCTTAAAAAAGATAATCTCCGTCTAAAAGGGGGGAGATGTTATGTACAATTTACAATATTGAGTATTTGCGTAGGTCAGCAATTTAGATTTATATAAAAACAGTTTCGATGCCCAAGTACGGCAATCAACATCAAGCAGTCAAACTCTGTACTCGGTCCGATAACAATCATTTTTATAACGTAGTTGTGTGTCAGAATTAAAAAGTTCCTTACAGCCAATAAAAAGTGTTTTTTTTAAAAAGGACCCACAGAGCGCCATCCTTACAGTTCGTATCGTAAACCACACGCCAAACCAAACATCGCGTTGCCTTAATCTCAATATACCTTTACAGTGTTAATACGTCTTGATCGCAGTGTTCTTGCGAGCCGACGTTTTATTAAAGATTTCACAGATTTTTCAATCGACTTCAAAATCCACGAGGTTCTTGACTTAGTTTTATTTCTTCTTTTATGTTTTTTTTTTATCATAGAACTCAGTCATTCATGAACCGATTGTAAAATTTAATGCTGCGGATGCATTTGAACTTCATTTTACTATAGATGTGTAAAATCTTATCCTTTAAACGAGCAATTCTTGTATATATATACATATATATAATCGGAATCTCGCAAACGGCTCCAGCGATTTTCATGAAATTTAGTATATGCGCAGAGTCGGGGGCGAAAAATCGATCTAGCTAGGTTTCATTTTTAGAAAATGTCCTTTTATCCCTTTTTTCAGGGAATGATCATTCGAATATGACAGTAAATTTCAGCGCAAAAAAAGAAATGTTATAATAGCTCGATCGGTAATCGGGTGGCCACAAAACAGACGGCCGCGGTTCGTATCACGCTCATTTACACATTTATTTTTTTTACTTTTTTTTCTATACCAGATCATTTTCTTTATTTTTTTTATTTCCAAAATACATGATTTACAAAAAAAAAACCGAGCAATGCTCGGTCTTCCAGGTACTACACTATTAAAAGAGTTGTGGGTATATCACAGGGCAGTGATATTAAATACTAAACATTTATGATACATCATGATCCACCGTTGATACTCAATTAATTAAACAGCACATGCTTTTTTAATTATTGATCCTACAGGTGTTGGCACCTTTTAATAATGTGGTAGGATTTTAATAAATACGGAAGTCCCAGCTCCAAACGCTAAAAAATTATTAATATTTGGAATTAACATTGAAATGTAAGTTATAACATAGTTAATGTTTTAACGTACATTTCTTCTTTTCTGCGTATTTTAGAATTAGCGAATTCTATTCGTTGCCAGTTTGAAAGCGCAAAGTGAATTTTAAACTTTAAACGTAATTCGAAGAATAATGGAGTGATAATAAGTTTCGGTGTAACATTTATATCTCACGTTACTCGAAAACTTTGAAGTATTTGCAGAACTCGTGGGAAGTATTCAACTTCTGAAGTTTTGTTATTCAAATTCCTACCATCGGTATTTTTCACCCAGTATTATTCTCTTCTTGATATTTCATTATAATTTTTTTTATGCGAAAAGTTGTCAAACGAGCAGACGGTTCACCTGATGTTAAGTGAATACCGCCGCCCATGGACATCTACCACACCAGAGGGTTACAGATGCGTTGACAACCTTTTGAAAATTGGGCTCCGGCTACCTCACTCCACTTTACGCTGGTCTTCTGTGAGGTCGTGGTATTTACCCGGACGGGCCTGCCCATTCGTGCAACAGTCGAGGCTGCTGCGTGGCCCTACCACCGTACTTAAAATCATTAAAAACCGTATCATTAAAATTATACTTCATGTTTCTTTATTGCAATAGCCTCGCGGATCATCCTTGGCACGAATCGGTGTTCTTTTGCGAGATTTTCGGTTGAACAAATGTAATGTAGTGCTTCGGGCGGTCTAAAACATGATCACAAACTGCAGACTTCTTCAATTGTCATTGCTTAACATCAGCTATATGTTCTTTCACACCGATTGAAACATCGATTCCTTTGAAGGATGATCCTAGAGGCACCCTAATTTGAAATAGAGAAGATGGTTGGGGATTATCATCTTGGGGCTTGGGATCCAAGTCAGAGTTTCGGTTAGACCGTTCATAGTTTATAAAATTAAGACCAAGCACACCAAAACTAGCACTGTTCATGTGTTTGGATTTTATTTTATATCTCCTCAAGAGATCTTAAGATACCATAAGCTGCTTTTGTGAAGATAACTTTGACATCAAGACGTGTCACTGTGCCATGAACACTGGAAATCAAAATTAACACGCGATAAAATCCGTAAACGTATTTTCATTTAATTGTGTAATATAAGCGTAAAATCAAGAAATAAATATAAAACGGATATAGTTCAATCAGATTAATTTACACGAACTAAAGAATAGTTTTGCATGAAGAGAGGATGCGATAAAGTTTGAATTTAAGCTGACACTCATCTACGATATTTCTCTCAGGCAAAACTAAGGGGTACGTGTAACGGGTTTTGGGACTTGAATCGACAACCCACTTTTTCAAAGCAAAATGCTATTGCTAGAATTTTGTTTTGAAAAAGTTCTTTTGCTCGCATTCTGCGCTTTTTCATCTCTCTTTTATCATTATTGTTTCATTGTTTTGTCTTTTTTTAATATAGCGAATTCGTAAAGTTACCAATCCAGTTTATCTAAATTTAATCAATTGATTTTTTAGGAAAAAAAAAACATTATATCATTGTAGAAACTACTATATTCTATGACGTTATTACGGACAGTCAAAGAATTGGCAGAAGTATCAGAATCACAGCAGATGTCCATGGTCGGCGGTATTCACTTAACATCAGGTGAACCGCCAAAAAAAAAACCACGCGATCCCACTAGTAGACTTCACATATCTTATTAACATTTTACTCCCGATAGTTAAACTATGAACGATACGTAGGGTTGCCGCATTCCCCGTGTGGAGTTGCCAGTTCTCCCATCGGGCGCGTCCCCAGGTGGCGGATAGGGGAATACCACCCACATATGGGTGGTAGCGGGAAACCGTCGCGGACCATAACTGGCTGGGGTGTACCCGCGGTTCATCATGAACCGTGGGCTATGGGGAAATCCTGCATAGGATTACCCACGAGGCGGGCCTTTTTTAAGGCTTTTCGTCACTCCCTGTATCTTTCATTAGTAAAAATCAGTGGATGTGACAAGTGCGACGATGTACTAGGTGCATCATAGCAACAACCCGTAAGCTTTCGAGCCTGGGTGCCTTTTGGGGCGGTGAGGAAGGTAACCTCTATAAAAAAATCCTCCAACCCTAAGGTCGAGCGTGCCGGGAGGGTGAATGGCTGGTGGGAAACCAGTTCCAAGCGCTCAGGGGGGATTGGGGAATTCCAGGGACCGAATCCTTGTAAAAAAGGAAATATGGAAGCAGTGAGTAAAAGCCAACTACCCCAGGGTGGTACCGGCGACGCCGGAGAATCCACCCCTAGGCATAGCCTGGGCAGCCCCATCGTATCTGGGGGGGGGGGGGGGGGGGGGGGGGGGCAACACACTGCCTTGCGGCGACGTAACTGCGTCGTCGGTGGGTCCTGTAACATCCGGGGACCAAGTACGTAAGGATGGAGCCTTGCCGAGGAAACCAGTGATTCCGGCACGAAGTACACGAGGTAGACGTGGGAGGCGTGGGCGTTTAATATGCCCTCACACTTCAGGAGATCTAGCTGGTGGGGGTGAATGCGAGTCTGATGGCTCGCAAATATCGCTAACATCGGCTAATTCACAAGACACTCGCAAGAGGAAGGCGACCAAGATTCCAAGTACGGAAAACATGGCCGCTAAATACAAGTTGCGATTTCTGCTTCAGCAACGGGAACAGAAGAAGAGATGATGGAAACTGAGATGGAGACAGAAGAAGATTTCCTCCACCCTTCAGTTCCCCCATCAAAAACAAGGGCAAAGAAAAAGTTGCCTAACCCGGATGAGTTATTACTGGATCTGCAGTCTCAACCGAGTGGCAACATTGAGGAACACATAGATCTTCAACTCCAGACCATTGAAAAAGTAGCGGACCACTCGCGGAATCTAAAAGGAAACTTCGTCCGTGGCTTAAGGCTAGCAGTGCGTAACGTTAAAGCCGCGGCCGTTGAACTCGCGCGGAGGTCAATCACTGACGCTAATGTAATAAGGCTGGAAAAGGAGAATGCAGAGTTGCGTTCTCAACTATCCAGTCTTGCCTCGAAGTTGGAAAAACTCACAGAGGAGATTAACCTTCTTCGTAGGCAAAACAGTGTTAGTGGCGAGACAAGTGCGTCACTTACACAGAAATCACCTAATGATACCATGAAAATGGGTGAAGAGAAGGGACTTTTGGAACGTATAGGGGTACTAATAGAAAGCAAAATAGCTGATTTTGAGGCAAAGTTGTTTCCTGATAGGGCGCTTCGACCCACGTTGGGAGCAAGGCCAAAGATTACATCTTTGGCTAACGAATGTTCAGACATAGATCCTAGAGAACTACAGCCGCAACCACCATCGTTGACGCAGTCTCAGAAGAGAAATAAAAAGAAAAAGGCGAAGAAAAAGAAGTCTTCACCACCACCAGTGACAGATTTGCCTCCGAAAGCTGCACCATATGTGCACTCAGAGGTAGAGACAGCGTCAAGATCGTGGGTAGATGTGGTCAAAAGAACAAAAAATCAGCCGGTTACCAATATCTTGAATAAAAAGCCTAAAGGCCCAAGGAAACCTCGCGCTCCTTCATCTGCAGCTGTGACAGTGACAATTCTAGAAGGCCCCTCCGTTACATACGGAAAGTTAATGGCGGAAGCAAAATCAAAAATTGCGTTGCTAAAGCTAGGCATATAATCTGCTATCCGTCAAAAGCGCGCCGTGACCGGAGCTCTGCTATTGGAGGTCTCAGGTCCGAGCTGCGAGCAGAAGGCGGATAATCTGGCTGCTAAATTGCGGGAGATATTTTCAGCCACACAGGTTCGAAAAAGTCGCCCAATAAAATCGGGCGATCTACGCCTGAGAGATCTAGATGATGCAATAGACTCAAGAGGTAGCAGCAGCGGTTGCTGAAGCTGGAGGATGCTCACCGGATCAAGTAAAAGTAGGGGATATCCGTCGAACACCGACCAGCATGGGGACGTGCTGGGTTAGATGTCCGGTTACGGCAATTCAGAAGTTGTCGGCTGAAGGATCTTTGCGCGTGGGCTGGGGCTCTATAAGAGTCAAGTTGCTCGAGCCCAGGCCTATGCGCTGTTTTAGATGCCTCGAAACAGGACATGTGGGTCTTAGATGTCCTAATAATACCGATCGCAGCACACGCTGCTACTCTTGTAGTGAGTCCGGGCATAAAGCGAAGGAGTGCACCTCTACAGATTTAAAGTGCCCCCTGAGCTCGGATCTGGGAGTTCCTTCGAGTCACCGTCTGGGTAAACAGTGCCCCAAAACAACTAAAAAAGGCAAAAAGAATCAAACGCAGGGCACTACAGCAAAAACGGCCACGGCAACTAACATGGCGGCATCGAGCAGCAGCTCGCCGATGGAGGTCGGTGTGATATAAAAACGAAACCCACAAGAGTCCTTCAGGGCAACCTAAACCACTGCCGGAATGCTCAGCACCTTCTTATGCAAAGCATTGTTGAGCGCAGTATTGCCCTTGCAATAGTAGCTGAGCCTTATACTATTCCAGACCACCCACGATGGTTTGGTGATAACTTGGGCTCGGTTGCTGTTTACTGGGGAGGCGGAGAGGGTGTTCCACCATGTACATTGTTGGTAAAAGGACAGGGTTTTGTCGCAGTACAGTGGGGCACTCTGGCCATAGTGGGTTGCTACGTCTCACCGAATAGATCGCTTGCAGACTACGAGGCGTACCTAGATAATGTAGCTGATTGCGTTCGCCGATGCTTACCTCGTCCTTTAATCGCTTTAGGGGGTTTCAACGCTCATGCTAGAGAGTGGGGGAACCTTAGAAATGATTCAAAGGGAGAGGCAGTAATGGAATGGACTGCTGGGCTAGATTTGAGACTCGCTAACCAGGGATCAGTTAGCACTTGTGTGCGGTGGCAGGGGGAGTCAGTAATAGACCTTACATGGGCGACTCCTGCTGCCATGCGTATGCTGTCTGATTGGCGTGTTGCAGATGAGGTGGTTACGTTATCAGACCACCGCCACATCTTCTTTGATGTCACATTCCGTCGTCCTCCTATCGATTCCAGTCGCAACGTTGGCAGTCCTATGCGACGTTGGTCCCTTAAACGGTTAGATCGAGATATGCTTGAAGCCGCCACCAACGTTGAAACCTGGCAGCAAAGCACAGGAGAGATTCCATCTGATGCGGAAGAAGAAGCTCACTGGTTCCGGGATGTAATGACTCGAATTTGCGACACTTCTATGCCTCGGATCAGCCTCTCTAAACGAAGGGGTGTGTACTGGTGGTCGCCGGAAATTGCACGATTACGTGCCATCTGCCTGCGTAGTCGGCGCCAGTATACAAGGGCTCGAAGAAGAAGAAGGCGAGTCCCAGATGATGAAATTGCCATGCTATACGGAGAATATCGAGCAACCACTCTGGCGTTGCAAGCTGCCATTTCCAACGCCAAGTCATAATCCTGGGCAGAATTGTTGGAGGAACTTAATGAAAACCCATGGGGGCAGCCTTATAAGTTGGTGCTAGGAAAACTCAAGCCCTGGATGCCTCCAGTGACGGAAACTCTGGACTCGAATCTCTTAGAAAGAGTGGTTAGCTCACTTTTCCCAGATAACCGATCTCCCACATATCCCAATATACAAACTCCAACGTCAGTACAAGAGCGGCAAGATAATATAGGAGTGACAGAGCTGGAGATGAGCAGAGCGGTTGGCCGATTAAGAGCCCGAAACACTGCGCCAGGGCCTGATGGAATACCGGGTAGGGCTTGGGTGCTGAGCCTATCTATATTGGGTGAAAGGTTAAGGCAATTGTTCTCAAGCTGTCTATACAACTCCACGTTCCCCAAGCCCTGGAAGGAGGCTAAATTGGTCCTCTTGAAGAAGGAAGGTAGAGCTGCAAATTCTCCCTCTGCGTACCGCCCGATTTGTCTGTTGGACGAAGTTGGCAAGATTTTTGAAAGAGTTATTGCCTCCCGCCTCAATGAACATCTTTCGCAAGTTGGTCCCGATATCTCCGAAAACCAGTTTGGCTTCCGAAAGAAGCGTTCAAACATAGACGCCATTATGCGCGTTCGCTTCTTATCGGACCAAGCTGTGTCCCAGGGTAGAGTGGCGTTGGCGATTAGTCTTGATATCGTAAACGCTTTCAACTCTCTGCCTTGGGGTGCTATTCTGGAAGGGTTAGCGACGCACAATGTGCCACAATACCTCCAAGGTATTGTCGCAAATTATTTACACGACAGGTACAGGTACGTTCTGTACACAGACCAAGACGGTACCAGAATCAGGAGGGAGATGTACTGTGGGGTTCCACAGGGCTCAGTGCTGGGCCCATTATTGTGGAACATTGCATACGATGCAGTTTTTGCGTACCGAGCTTCCCGCTAGCGTCGACGTCGTCTGTTATGCGGATGACACGCTAGTAGTTGCTAGCGGGGAAAATTTCGAGAGGGCCAAAGAGCGAGCTGAGCTTGGCGTGCAAATCGTCATTGATAAGATACATGAGTTGGGATTAAAGATAGCACCTCACAAGACCGAAGCGCTATGGTTTCATAAAATGTCACTGTTCGCGATCAAAGTTCGCTGATTCGAACAGGGTGGCGCTGTAGAGGTGTCGTTGCGCATCTGTGCAATCGACGCCCAATAAAATTTAAATCCGGACTTTAGGCCAATCATATTCAAATGTCAATATAACCGTTAAAAATTGTTCCTCTCCCTCTTATCCTCGAATCTTGTACATTAAAAGTGAATTAATCGCAATACAGTTTTCATAACGATCGCACGGTTTTAATTCTGATCCAAAGCCTAGGAAAGTAGACACGCAGTCAACCTACACGCCAATTATTCGTGAGCATCAACATTTTTTGGTCCTTCGAGCCGGATCAAATTAAGCGGCGACTGGTGGATCACGTAGACGTTGAAGCTACATTCCTGGAGGAATACGCATATTTGGAGAAATTTACACGAAGGACAGCTGGAGGCTAAGCGCAACTTGGAATAGAAGGATTGGCCAGTTCATCGACTACAAGGCGCATTTGGTGAGACCAACCCTTTCTCTTCCTAAACACCTTCCTGTTCTTTTTGTGATCCCGTGCTGAACTGATTTCAGTGAAGTGGGCGCATAAAAGTGCTGCATCATCCTGACACGTAGTCATAGGCGCAACTGCTGACGCTGCTATCAACAGTAACGTGACTCCTGTCTACTAATATTGTAAGTACTCCTACTTTCACCGACCACCAAAATGCCGGCAGATAAACCTCGTGATAAATCGCCTAACATTCTAAGTGTTGAGGGTGATAGTGTAATAGTTCGCGAATTAGTTAGAAAGCGCGGAATTATTAAAGGCAGATTAACCAAGTTTACAACTTACATACAGTCGTTAAATAGCAGTGATTATGAATTTTCCAATCAAAATCGTATAGATTTAAAGTTACGGATACAAGGGGCTGCGAGTTTGGCTATAGAATTTAATGCTATTCAAACTAAAATAGAAGAAAATGTGCCCGATAGTGATTTGCCCGAGCAGTTAGATCAACGGGAACTTTTTGAAAATTCGTACTATACTACTTTAGCTCGAGCTGAATCTATGCTAGACAATGGCGAGATCACTGACTCTTCATTAATTGCTACTACTAATCAAAAGGTTCAGTTGCAATCGGTTAAATTACCCACTATTGTCCTGCCTAACTTTGACGGTTCATACGAGCACTGGCTCGAGTATAGGGATAAGTTTTTATCCTTAGTTCATCACTCTAAAGAAATGTCTAACATTCAAAAGTTTCACTATTTAAAGGCTTCGTTAGAGGGTGATGCTCAAGTGATAATAGATTCCGTTGAAGTCTCTTCGGATAACTACATCGTGGCTTGGGAGATGTTAACGGGTAGATACAATAACCATAGGCTTCTCATACATAATCACGTCAAAACTTTGTTCGCTATTAACCCGCTTCCTAAAGAATCGCCCATTTTGTTGAATAAATTAGTCGACACAATTTTGAAGAATATACGTTCGCTTAAAATTCTTGGAGAACCAACCGACTCTTGGGATACACTAATTATTTACCTAATAGTTTCAAAATTAGATAAAACTACCGAACGCGAGTGGGAAACATACAAAAGCACAGTTATCGCGAACGAAAACAATTCGAAAGGGTCGATTAAATTAGACGTGTTGATTAAATTTCTCAAATCCAGAGCGGACATGTTGCACTCTTTACAAATTTCGCATGATAAAGATGCACACAGTTTCGACTTAAGAAAGAAAACAACGTCATCAAAATCACACTACGCTTCACAATGTAACGTGGTTACTAGTGACAAGTCGGCTCGCCTATCGCGATATAAACGTTCTTGTGTAATGTGCAGTGCAAACCACTCACTTTATTCTTGTAAAAGATTTATCGATAGCGATTTACAAACTAAATTTAACTTAATACGTCAACATAACCTATGTGAGAATTGTTTACGTTCAGGACATGCGCTAGATAACTGTAAGTTCGGCCCGTGCCGAAAATGCAACAAAAAAACACAACACGATAATTCATAGTGAGAATAATAATACGGTTGCATTCCACGCATCGCTAATGACTGAGAGCAGTGCAGCGGGAGTGGCATCGCCGCGAATGAATTCCGTCCCCGCACACTCCTCAGACCCCGCCGGCATTCCCCCCGACTACTTCTACAAGTATTAACCCGAACCAAT